GCTTCCTTTGGGAGCTCTTGTAAGGCAGGACTGGTGGTGACAAAATCTCTCAGCAGTTGCTTGTCCATAAAGGATTTTATTTATCCTTCACTTATGAAGCTTAGTTTGGCTGGATATGAAATTCCGGGTTGAAAATTGTTTTCTTTAAGGATGTTGAATATTGGCCCCCACTCTCTTCTGGCTTGTAGGGTTTCTGCCAAGAGATCTACTGTGAGTCTGATGGGCCTCCCTTTGTGGGTAACCTGACCTTTCTCCCTGACTACCTTCAGCATGTTTTCCTTCATTTCAACCTTGGTGAATCTGACAATTATGTGTCGTGGGGTTGCTCTTTTTGAGGAATATCTTTGTGATGTTCTCCATATTTCCTGAATTTGAATGTTGGCCTGCCTTGCTAGCTTGAGGAAGTTCTCCTGGATAGTATTCTGAAGAGTGTTTGCCAACTTGGTTTCATTCTCTTCATCACTTTCAGGTATACTGATCAGCTGCAGATTTGGTCTTTTCACATAATCCCATATTTCTTGGAGGCTGTGTTCATTTCTTTTCACTCTTTTTTCTCTAAGCTTCCCTTCTCGCTTTATTTCATTGAGTTGATCTTCAATCTCTGATATACTTTCTTCCATTTGATTGATTTGGCTATTGAAACTTGTGTATGCTTCACGAAGTTCTCATGCTGTGTTTTCAGCTCCATCAATTCATTTATATTCTTCTCTGTGCTGGTTATTCTAGTTAGAATTTTGTCTACCCTTTTTTCAAGGTTCTTAGCTTCCTTGCATTGGGTTAGAACATATTCTTTTAGCTTGGAGAAGTTTGTTATTACCCACCTTCTGAAACCTGCTTCTATCAATTTGTCAAACTCATTCTCCATCCAGTTGTGTTCCCTTGCTGGTGAGGAGCTGTAATCCCTTGGAGGAGAAGCAGCGTTCTGGTTTTTGGAGATTTCAGCCTTTTTGTGCTGGTTTCTTCCCATCTTTGTGGATTTATCTACCTTTGATCTTTGAAGTTGGTAACTTTTGAATGGAGTCTCTGAGTGGATGTCCTTTCTGTTGATGTTGAAACTATTTCATCCTGTTTGTTAGGTTTTTTTTTCTAACAGTCAGGCCCCTCTGCTGCAGGTCTGCTGGAATTTGCTGGAGGTCAACTCTAGACCCTGATGGGCTTGTAATCACCAGCTGGGGCTGCAGAACAGCAAGGATTGCTGCCTGTTCCTTCCTCTGGTAGCTTTGTCCCAGAAGGGTACCTACCGGATGCCAGCCAGAGCTCTCCTGTATGAGGTGTCTTCCAGCCCCTCCTGGGAAGTGTCTCCCATTCAGGATACACAGGTATCAGGGAGCCACTGGAGGAGGCAGTCTGTCTCTTATCAGAGCTGGTCCACTATGTTGGGAGATCTTTTGCTTTCTTCAGAGCAAAAACCACAACCACCCCTTTTCCCAGGTGCTCTGTTCCAGGAAGGTGGGGGCTTTATTTATAAGTCTCTGATGGGCTGCTGCCTTTTTCCAGATATGCCCTGCCCGGCAAAAAAGGAGTCTAGTGACAGTCTGATAAAGAGGCCTTGCTGACTTGCCGTGGGCTCTGCCCAGTTGCTGTATAAACTTCCCAGCAACTTTGTTTACACAGGCGAGGTTAAAACTGCTTACCCAGGCCTCAGCAATGGCAGACACCCCTCTCCCCACGAAGCTCAAAAGTCCCAGGTCAAGCTCAGACTGCTGTGCAGGCTGCAAGAATTTTAAGCCAGTGGATCTTGGCTTGCTGGTCTTCATTGGGGTGGGACCTGCCAAGCCAGATCACTTCGCTCCCTGGCTTCAGCCCCCTTTTTCAGGGAAATGAGCGGTTCTGTCTGTCTCACAGGTGTTCCAAGCATCACTAGGGTATGAGAAGGGGGAAAAAAAAAAAGTGCTGCAGCTAAAACAGCCACCCAGTTTTGTGCTGGAAACCTGGGGCACTGGTATTGTAGGCACCACAGGGAATCTCCTGGCCTGTGAGTTGTGAAGACCATGGGAAAAGCACAGTATCTGAGCCAGAGTGCCAGGAAAAGTCCCTAATGGCTTCCCTTGGCTAAGTTCTCCAGCCCCTTGAACTTCCTGGGTGAGGCAATGCCCCACCCTGCTTTGGCTCGCCCTCCTTGGGATATACCCACTGTCTAACCAGTCCCAATGAGATGAACCTGGCTCAGTTGGAAATGTGGAGATCACCTGGCTTCTGCATAGCTCTCACTGGGAACTGCACACTGGAGCTGTTCCTATTGGTCAGCGTGGCAGAAGCCCCCCAGTGGGACTTACTAATTAATATAGTTAATAATATCTGTTAGGACATTATTGCTTGCTATAAAGAAACACCTGAAACTAGGTAATTTATGAAGAAAAGAGGTTTTATTGGCTCATGGTCTTCTAGGCTATACAGGAAACATGGCAGCATCTGCTTCAGGAAGCTTCCAGTCATAGCAGAAGGCAAAGGGGTAGCAAGCACATCACAGAGAGAGACAGGGAGATAATACCTTCATGTACATTATCATAGCTAAACTCTCAAATTTCTCTTCTCTAAAGTTAGTTGACAGCATCATGTTTTAAGGTATTGCAACCTTATTTGACTACTACATTGGAAGTTTGACTCTTTAATACCACCATATAATTATGTTTACACAAAGAATTGGAAGGAAGGCATAGAGTCTCCATATGTTCATTTCGGCCTGGGTGGCTAAAGGGCTTCTAAGAGTCAATGCATGAAAATGGCCTAGATTGAATAAATTAGCAAAATCACAAAAGGAAACCACTATAGGAAATAGTTTTACACATGTAATTGCTGAAATCCTATAGTGAATGTGTCAATCTGTACTAACTAAATAAATTTGTTCATAGACATGTTCTATATTAGCTTCCACTCTTTCATAGACCTTTGCCAAACAAAATCCCACTAGAAGTAGGATGTTCACACCCGAGTAGGAGTTTCTTGGATAAATATTTTTACTATATGGAGACCAAAACCACTTTTACAAATTTTAGACTTTGATTGAAATACTATATTTCTTTAGCTTTTTTCTCCCATCTTTTCTCCTGGCAGCTACTTGTGCACTAACTTACCTCCTCTGGCCTCCCACGGGTCTGCTGAACAAGAGACTGGCTGCATGCACAGGACGCCAGATAGCTCCAAAAGTGGTGAGACAAGCTTACCCAGTCATTGCCACCACCAAATGGACTGGAGAGACACAGACAGGCCTATTTGCCCTTCTCCTAAAACCTAGTTGAAATTATTCCTTGAATTAAGCATAGAGATTATACATTGTCAGGCTATATTTTATAAAATGCCTGCTTACATTTCATTTGAGTGCTGCATGAATAGAATACATAAAGGTAGAATTTATTCAGCCAGTCCTTAAGAAATCATAGTAAGAGTTACTGAAATATAACAGCCACATTCTTTCGTAAGAATGACTCTGATCTCAACTTTGCCCATCCAGTTTGAAACAAAAATTTCAACTGGTTTCTTAATTCTGTAGTCAAAAACTGGTGCAGAATTTTTCATAGGCCCTTTTGAAGATCGCTTTTGTTAATTTGGCCTTTGAGTAATAAAATATTTTTAGTAAGTATTTTTAATTGTAATAAATTCTGTTAAAAGTTAAAAAAAAGGCCAGGCATGATGGGCAGCTGAGACAGGAATCATTTGAGCCTAGGAGTTCAAGTCCAGCCTGGGCAACAAAGCGAGACCCCCATCTCTAAAAAAAAAAAATAATGCTTTTTGTTAGCCAAGCGTGGTGGTGTACACTTGTAGTCCCAGCTGCTCAGGAGGCTGAAGTGGGAGAATCGCTTGAGCCTGGGAGATTGAGGCTGCATTGAGCCATGATCACACCACATCACTCTAGCCTGGGCAAGACCCTGTCTCCAAAACAAAAAAAAAGAGTGAAACAAAGAACACTTATTTTTGATGTGCCGAACCTCAACCTTTTCACTATTTTTGTGAGACAATATAACCAGTAGGCAGTTGACTTGGACAATAGTGTGATAAGGGTGATCTGGGCCAGTGCAGGATCCTAGTTACTATGAACCCAGAAACTCATCTTTTAGAATTAATTAGAATAATACCCAATAAAATGAGTACTATCACTACTGCATAAATAATATATCTGACTTAGGGTGGCTCCACAACTCAGATTTCATAATTTAATATGATAGCTCTGTTCAAATTAATCTTTCACATCAGAGGAGACACTTTGGTTATTTATGATATGTTAGAGATAGATTTTCAAAATGGTTAAGGTATATTGTTGTGAATGTCCATGGCAAATTTAATTAACACAACTCTGTTTTAGAAATACAGCTGCGTAATATGTACAAGGTCAGAGTACGTTCACAGTGTCTCAAGAACACCTAACTTTAAGGAAAGAGACACAGAGGCATGGAAGAGGCATGCCCCCCCCATTGTCATTCCACAGCAGTTCAGCTTGGAAATAAATGCCAACAGAGAGTATTGCAATTTAATAGAAAGAGTTTATGCCAGGCCCTAAAGCAGCAATTCAAAAGAATCACTTGGTTGAATGCTTATGTTTATCTCTGACCTGAATTTGGATAAGCTCTTCGGTGCTAGGTAGTTTGGGTTGGTGTCTTACATTCAACATTTGTTGACTAGCCTATAGACTGGCATTTGGGAATAAGATAAGTCAAGATCTCTCTCCTCTTGGCCTTACTTACTTTTCTGTCCCCCACAACCCATTCCCTTCCTGTCTCCAACTCAGATCTCAGCTGTGTGACTTCTTCAAGAAGCCTCCTTGATCATCATCATCTACCTCTACTGCCATCTTATACAGCTCATTACCCTCTATTCTCATTTTGTAACTTTCATCACTTTTGGCACTTCTCATTCAATATGTGTCTTCCCCATCAGCCTGTTCACCACAGAGGGCAGGAACTACATCTGTGATCCTGCTGTAGCTACTGTACCTTGTACTCTGTATTTTTTAAATGAATAAGTAAATGAATGACAGTAGGTTCATACAGACATATACCTTCTCTATCATTTCTCAGCCTTTTGGCTAAGATCAAGTGTAAAAATGTATCTTTTCAGGTGGCTACTGAATGTAATTGAATAACTGCCATCTCCTGATTTTGTCATAATTTTTTATTCATTGTCTTTAAAGAATTCTTTAAGACCTTAACTGTAAGTTGCTTACTGTCCAATCAAATTGGTGTTGACCATTGGCAAACAGCTATTTGCTTTCTGTGTTCTTACCCCTTGTGTTGTGTTTTAATGCAGCAAAGGCCATTGGGGGTGAGAGGGAGGCCAATGAGACAGTATTTTCTTGTTTTTGTCTTGTATGAGTATTGTCTAAGACCTTGAGAATGCAATTGAGTAATATGACTACAAAACCAAGATTGTAAAAAAAATTATATTATCTACTACAAACTTAATGTTAATTATAATTTTTGGTAACAGAATATTTGAACCTAAAATGTTTATAGACTCAACAAAATAATTTCACAGTTTTGTTTTAGATGAGTTGAATACTCTTTTTCTGGCAAACAAAGCAATTGGCTTGATGGATGCATAAGTTTTCACTGTTGACTGATAATCAGTAAGAAGCCCAGAAATGCTCCCAGTGGGAACTGAGACCTAGTATCAGAATAACTGCTTTGCAACATTGCTAGTGGTTGGGCTATCAAGGTCACTGGTTTAGTTTTCTTAACAACTGGTGCTGATGGTTCTCTTGTGAAATGGTAAGTGTGTGGTCTAAGCCCAATTTTTAGAAAATGAGACTATCCCAGCCCCTGCTCTCATGATGAACACATCAGCTTTTCCATTATTGCCCAGAGGAAACTAGGCTACCTGCTAGTCAAAGTCATTCATTTATTAAATGACTATTTATTAAGCATTTAACTTATTTCATGCATTGGGTTATGCCCAAGACACATAGAAATAAATAGAACAGTAAGTTATCTGCCCTCTAGAGGCTATAGGTTACTCAAGTGAAATGAGAATTAACTGCTGTTAGAGCTGAGCCCCCAAACAATTGTTATTTGGGTTACTAACTCCTGCCAATTTGGTACTTTTTGGCCTTTGAGACAGTATTTTCTTTTTGTTTTTAACTTGTGTCAGTATTGTCTTAAGACCTTGAAAACGCAATTGAGTAACATGACTACAAAACCAAGATTGTAAAAAAAGAGTATTTTATATTATCTATTACAAGCCTACTATTGATTATAGTTTTTGGTAACAGAATATGTGAACCTAAAATGTTTACTTATACGTGTTTCCAGCTTGGAATAGTTTGAGGCATTTGTTTTTATTGCCTTTAATATAAAAGTAGCTGAAGAGAAGTTTAATATTATTGGCATTAAATTATTAAACATGTATGTAAGTGCATGCAATGTCATGGAAAGAGTAATTTATAGTCTCATGAAATTGCTGATGATAATATTTATAAAAACCCCTTTTTTTCTAAAATACAGCGTTGTTTGTATTTGCCAGCCACTTAATTATTTTGCTCAACAACAACAACAAAATCTTAACATATCTCATAACTTGAAATGACTTGGGCAATTATGAGTGGTAACCTTTAATAACTAAATTTAATTTAGAGATTTTTGTATTCAGAATGCCGAAACAACTTGGTAATAATTCAAGAATTTATAAAAGCCCAATGTTTGTTAGTATTTTTAATAAAATAAGGAGAGACTGAAATGGAGTTAGAGAAAATCAGGCATACAATGGCAAGTTCCTCAAGATTTATGGGGTCTGGGTTACTCTGACTACAGTGAGAGTTAACAGTATATATATATATTTTTTTCCCCTCATTCTGCCAGCCAGAGAAGACCTCTTATTTAAAGGGCACTGTTGTTAAATTAAGGCTTTGCTTCTGACAAACTGCCCTTCATGATTTTCACAGGATATTTATAACATAGGGGCAGTATACAAAAAGAAAAATGTTTAATGATGAGTTTTGCATGTTATACAGTGCTATACATCATATGGTTTAATTTAGATCCTCTGAAATATCAGTTAGAATGAAATTATCAAAAGGAGAAAAGTCACATGGCATGGTGCAAACAAGATGTGCCTATTTGTATTTATGTTTGCTAATGAAAGTCAGCCATGATTCCCACTTTGATTTTAAGAGTCTTAGACCACCATTCGGCTTTATTTATTATAATTAAATCTCTTGCCCACACGCAGACACAAGGGCAACAAAGAAAGGGGCATATTTTATCTTTTAAAAAGCAATTGCATAGCTTTCATATGAAACTCCTGAGCTTCCGAGATTTATAGTATTAAAGCAAAACAGTATGTCTTTCAGGGCATGGTCATCTTGTCAGGCAAATGGAGGGTCCAAGAGAGGGCTTAGCCTCTGAATCTAATGACCCCAGACAGGCGAGGGCTGAATTAGGATATATGGGGGCAGTGGAATTGGAACAACCTAAGTTTGAGACAACTTGGCATATTCGCTCCTCTAGCAGAAGAAAGACTGAAAAAAGGCCTGTTAGAAGCACAACTGATTTTTTACTATAAAGCTTGGGAGTGGGGTGGGACAGAGAGGGGGCTAATTTAGTTGACTGTGAAACAGCATTTATACATGAAATTCAGAATGTACCTACCTTCCCAACTGTGGCTCAACGGAGTATTCAGTAAAGTAACTAAGTAGATATTTAGGTTAAATTAATAAGTAAGAGTTAGTGAAAGCCTGTTGCTTCTATTTTCTTCTACTACCTCTCTACCTTTTTCTCCCAGCAAAGCAAAGTCAGTGTAGAACCTCAACCCTCTGTGCCCTCTTCATCCCTGTGGAGTGAAGAAGAGCATTTGGAAAACCCCCAGGCAGTTCCTGTGGCCCACAAATCATCCTAGATACAGAGCATCTATACTCAGTTAATTAGGAGTTAACAATAGTTTGAGAGAGGGTGGATATATGCTCCAGATCTTTTTGTTGTCCCTTTTACTGCTGGATTTAACCCAAAATTGCCGACTCCAAACACCTCCAAGCAGGCCATATTATTTGCTCAACCCAAAATCAGACACAGCATAGCCCTAGTAAGACTTCCATGAAAACACATGGTGTATCACCCCCTTGAAGGTCCTAAAGATGCATGCATTTGCCACAGAACCTTTCAGCCATGTTTATCTTATTTTGATATTTTGTCCATTTATCAGAATTATTATTATTCTGTGCACTCAGGAAAATTAAGTGATTCTCCAGGGGAGGGCTAATCATAAAGCAGAAAACCCCAGAGTAGAACGCAAAGCTTATAATGGCTTAACCTCTACCTGCTCAGCTGTATTGTTTCAGACATAATTAAGTTGTGTTCCCTCCTCCCCTCACCACCCCACCCCCCTGCCAGTTTCTTCACTTTTGTTCTGCTCCCAAGGGCTGTTCTTTATCCAGAAAAACTTTTTCTTTCCCTGCGTCTGTTTTCCCTATTAAGGCCAGGGAAGCTACACACATAGCTTTGGGCAGAATCAGAACCATCTGCAACAAGCCCTAAACTGAGTCAGGAATCCTAGGCTCTCCCATGTGACTATGGATGGGTCACTCTCTCTGAGCATTCATCTTTTCATCTGTTAAATGAAAAATGGGGCCAGAGGAATTCACAAAGGTACTTTCCAGTTCCAAAGTTCTATTGTTCCTTGATTCTAGATGTTAGTAAAGGGTATGTTCAGCTTGGTTTAGCAGGCTCAGTTTCCAGATTCCTTTTTCATTATAGTATTAAACATGTTGTGGCAGTCAGACAGACTGTGCTCCTAACAGTGGCATCTTGGCATCTAGGGGGAAGAAAACAATGCCTAGTCTACAGATGACCTAAAAGGGAGAGATGCAGGTAACCTATCTGCTGTGGGTGAAAGCTGCAGTCTGAAAACTTCCATTTCTGCCTCTTCCACGTTAAATTCACTAAACGCCAAAATCAGAATTTCCATTAGGAAATACTGTTTACTGCATAATCACGACAGATTCTAAAAATGTTCCATTTACTGACAAAACCATTATAGGGTCCTGTTCATTCCAAAGCCTAAACACCACTTAGACCCACTAGCTTTGAAGAACCGGAGCTAGAGCATTTGTATTTTTTAAAGCTCCCCAGGTGATTTGGGTGCCATGTTCTATACTATACACTATTGAAGTTACTTTGGAAAATAAGCAGTAGTTGAGCAAGCCTCCAAAGTAAAGATGATTTAGATTCACGGTCCATGTCTGTCCTCTGAAGTACTGTACCTGGCTGATCTGGTTTAAATTTGAAATAAAATTGTAATTTACCTTTTAAGTGATGTTTAGCAAGAATTAATTTATTAGGACTGAGAGAATATGTGTATCTATAGTACTGTGGGTGGAATTGGGGCAGGGGACTATCTGGTTTGTTTTGTTTAATGTCAGACAATGAAAAGAACACAGGCCCTGGGTTTTAAATCCAAAATCTACTCTTTTACTAATTGTGGTAAGGCTCAAATTAGATACAGACATGAAAATATTTCATAAACCATAAAACCATGTATCCCAGCAATTTTTAATCTTTGCCCCTCCTTACTCTGAGAAATATACAAATCTCATGCCTTTCTAAAGTGTAAGTTCAAATTAGATATTGCGATTAGAAGCAAAAAAGCAGAAGCTTGCTTTGTTTTCTCCCTCCTTTCCTACTTTGAGAGTGACCTCTCAGTGCATTTTACTTGTGGTGGTTCAAACTTGAAGTTTAGTGAAGGCAGAAACTGTCTATCTTTGTGTCCTATTGTGCCACCAAGCACACAGTAATTTACAGAATAAGAACTCAATAAAGATTTGCTAAAATCATATTAAACAAATTTATACGAATTCAGACAATAGAACCAATAGCCTCTTTCTTAGGCCTTTGAGAAATGAAGTATTTGTAAAAGAATTTGGGAGTTATTACAGTGAAATTCTTGTGCTAGTTTATTTAAGATTTGAGAAACCAGAAGAGAATCAGAAGAGGTAATAGAATAAAACAAGTCTGAACTGGAAGAAAGAATGGTGTTTATAGTTAATGTTTTAATAATTATGCTAATGGCAAAAATAATACACAGTAATATTTAAGTTGGAACTACAAAATAAGTTTTATAACATATGTACTTTTGCTTCAGATAAATATTAATCTTTTGATTAATATTCATTTGTATTCCTTAAGATGTACCAATTTATAACTCATTAAAAAAAGAGGTATATAATCATGTCGTCTGCACAGAGACAATTTGACTGCATTGTCTTAGCCCAAAATCTCCTTAAGATGATAAGCAACTTCAGCAATGTGCAAAAATCACAGGCATTCCTATACACTAATAAGAGACAAATAGAGTCAAATTATGAATAAACTGCCATTCACAATTCCTACAAGGAGAATAAAATACCTAGGAATACAGACTATTGCTCAAGGAAATAAGAGAGAACACAAACAGATGGAAAAACATTCATGCTCATGGTTGGGAAGAATCAATATCATGAAAATGGCAGTATTGCCCAAAGTAATTTATAGAATCAGTGCTATCCCCATCAAGCTACTATTGACTTTCTTCACAGAATTGGAAAAAAAAACACCTTAAACTTCATATGGAACCAAAAAAAAGAGCCCACATAGCCAAGACAATCCTAAGCAAAAAACAAAAAACCAAAGCTGGAGGCATCACACTACCTGACTTGAAACTATACTACAAGGCTACAGTAATCAAAACAGCATGATACAGGTACCAAAACGGAGATATAGACCAATGGAACAGAACAGAGACCTCAGAAATAACACCACACATCTACAACCATCTGACCTTTGACAAACCCAACAAAAACAAGCAATGGGGAAAGGTTCCCTGTTTAATAAATGGTGTTGGGAAAACTGGCTAGCCATATGCAGAAAGTGGAAACTGGATCCCTTCCTTACACCTTATATAAAAATTAACTCCAGATGGATCAAAGAGTTAAGACCTAACACCATAAAAACCCTAGAAGAAAACCTAGGCAGTACCATTCAGGACATAGGCATGAGCAAAGATTTCATGACTCAAATATCAAAAGCAATGGCAACAAAAGCCAAAATAGACAAATGGGATCTAATTAAACTTAAGAGCTTCTGCGCAGCAAAAGAGACAGTCATTAGAGTGAACTGGCAACCAACAGAATGGGAAAAAATTTTGCAAGGTACCCATCTGACAAAGGGCTAATATCCAAAATCTACAAAGAACTTAAACAAATTTACAAGAAAAAAAGAGGAAAAAACCCATCAAAAAATGGGCAAAGGATATTAACAGATACTTCTCAAAAGACGACATCTATGTAGCCAACAAACATGAAAAAAAGCTCATCATCACTGGTCATTACAGAAATGCAAATCAAAACCACAATGAGATACCATCTCACATTAGTTAGAATGGCGATTATTAAAAAACCAGCAGACAACAGATTCTGAGGAGGATGTGGAGAAATAGGAACACTTTTACTCTGTTGGTGGGAGTGTAAATTAGTTCAACTGTTGTGGAAGACAGTGTGGTGACTCCTCAAGGATCTAGAACTAGAAATACCATTTGACCCAGCAATCCCATTACTAGGTATATATCCAAAAGATTATAAATCATTCTATATAAAGACACATGCACACGTATGTTTATTGTGGCACTGTTCACAATAGCAAAGACTTGGAACCAACCCAAATGCCCACTGACAATGGACTGGATAAAGAAAATGTGGCACATATACACCATGAAATACTATGCAGCCATAAAAAAGGATGAGTTCATGTCCTTTGGAGGGACATGGATAAAGCTGGAAACCATCATTCTCAGCAAACTGACACAGGAACAGAAAACCAAATACCACGTTTTCACTCATAAGTGGGTGTTGAACAATGAGAACACATGGACACAAGGAGAGGAACATCACACTCTGGGGCCTGTCAAGGGGTGGGGGACTAGGGGAGGGATAACATTAGAAGAAATACCTAATGTAGATGATGGGGTGATAGATTCAGCAAACCACCATGTCACATGTATCTATGTAAGAAACCTACACGTTCTGCACATGTACCCCAGAATTTAAAATATAAATGAAAAAAAAAGAAGTAAACCAATATGGGATTTAAATGTTTTCTCTAGCTTGACCATTTGAAGTGAAAAAAAAAAAAAGAAAAAAAGTCATTTTAAAAAGTGTACACTTAGAAATTAATGACCCCACCAGTGCCCAGTGCAGTAGGTAAAATCTGTATCTGCTTATCCAGGTAGATTGACATTCTGGCACCGGTCATAATTTGAAGCTTTATGAATAAATGAATGTCAAAATTGGGTCCTCAATTAAAAAAACTGAGAACTATATATTCCTAATTTTAGAACTAATTGGGGCCTTAAAAACATTAAGTATTGTCTTTGCTGTGAACTTTCAGAGATGCTAAAATGTCTGAGCTTTTCAGCAAATTCACAAAGGAGCAAGTGATGTTGAGAACAGAGCTTTATTAAATCAGAAATGAAGCTTAAGTACTATATAGGTATGTAGGATCCAGTTTGTTGGGAGGTCTAATTGTGTTATTGATTAATCTGTAATTTTCAACAGTGGGTAGAGGTCCTGGCTGTTTCTGGTCAAAGCCTGGATTTTACTAACTAGGAGTGTCTGTGAAGATACAGAACTAGGAATCATTCATAGGGTCTGACAGAAGAAAGAGAGTGGGATACAAAGTATTCCATGAGAATGTGGCCTCTGGAAGGCCCTCACACCAAGCTATGTTTAAATTTAGTTTCAACATTTGCAACATAAATAGAGAGAAATTTACAGCTGACACAAATATGAGTTGTCTTCATCCATCTTCCTGTAAAGTTGCTTACTCTGGAAAGCATGCCGAAGTGGGGACGTTCCCATAATTGCCTTACATAGACAACGTACATCCTTTGTACATCAAAAGGAAAAAGTAGTGACTCAAGATAGAGGACCCTAGGGAATATGTTTATGGAAACTGCTCTTCACTAATTACACATGCTTGTTTGTTCTTTATTTTAGAATTAAAATAGGAAGACCTCATCACAGAAATCTGGGTCAGCTCAAACTTTGGTTTTCTCATTAGATGTGGGTCCTTGAGGGTCTGTGATATTAAATAAGCCTGCAATCTTTTGTTTGCCAAATGGTGATAAATCATCTGTGAAGGTGAATCAATCTTTGAAAAGTGAACTTTTTCATACTAATAACAACTATTTTCATATTGCCCAGTCTGAAAATGTTAAAACCTGGTTATTTATCAGGTGAACTCAGCTAAGACTCAGTCTTTCACCAAGCCAAAACCTCCTTTCTCAAGCAAGGCTCACTTCAACACTGTACCTTTAGAAGGAATGCAGCTTTACTCCTGGTCCATTTAACTCCATCTAAAACCATTCCCTGTGCTTTAAATAATACATTATGTTAAAGATTGTCACTTGGTTGTAACATTTAAAATATCAGGGTCAAGAAGCTAAGAGTATTACTTTGGCATAAGCCTCTGTGAGGCAGCCGTGGTGGTAGGAGCTGTTTCACAGACTGAGGCTCCCCTGCTTGTGGTTGTGGGAAGACACCCTGTGCATTCCTGCAAGTTATTTGTGGCTCTCTGAGGAACTCATTTAACACTGTTCTGTAGCACACAATTTTAGGAAGTAGAGTTGGAATTTTCTAGTCCTCGTTAGAATGTGTACTTCAATCCAGACGTGTTCTACAACACAAAAAGTCCCATGGTAAAGAACAAGCTCGTAGAAAGAACACTGAGGAATGATGCTTGGAATGTGCCACTGTTTTGTCATCCCTTATACACTGATCTGGAGTGAACTGCGTAGCAGCATAACTAACCGAAGAAATTTCAGCCAGGGCGCCAAAGGCTGACAAGCATAGTAAATCTTCTTAAGCAGGATATTCGGAGAGAGAGTTTTCAAGTTAATTGAATTTTATGATTAACAGAAGGTTATCTGGAAGACTATATTCATTTCACCTCATGTTGATGGAAGTCTTTCTAAAAGGGTTAAGTCTACTTTCCATTTTTAGTATAATTATAAATGTGATTTAATTCTTAAGATGAAGATTTCACTGCCTCCATAGCATTATCTTGATCATAAAAAGTTATTCTATATTTCCTAAAATACGGCTGTGGCTGTTCAAGGTTAATTCATTGGGCTAGAAGTATACAGACTGCAGAACTGCTTCAGAGTTATTAGCCTAAGGGGGGATAAATCCCTAATATGAAATTTTATGATTTTCTTTTTCTGAAAACAGATTGTGGAAAAATTCCATCCGATTGAAGGTTACGAATTCTCTGGATGTGACTGTTACGAGTTTCAATGATGAAAAATGTGCCAGCAAAAGGGAAATTTTATTCCTAAGTCCTGAATTTTAGTTCTGCTCCACTCTGGGTCTTAAAATGAGATTCAGGATGTTACAGAGACCCTGTGTGGTCCAGGTCTCCCAACTCTGAAATGCAAAATATATCTCTTGGAATGAAAAGCATGCGATTTTTCTTTCTTTAATTGGAATGTACTGTATAATTGCACTTAGAATCCATTTTCCCATTTTCTTTTATGGGAGCATTTTATCCCACCGTGCATATCCATGTGTACATCTGTACATACAGGTATGTCTATAAAATTAGATTTGCATTTTTGATACTGTCTACAATATAAACAACTATACAGAACTCATTTGAGATGATAATATTTTAGGGGGGAGGAGAGGCCTCTACTAGTGTCTGTTCCAATAGCTTTTCACTCAGACTATAAATTAGGCCCAGGGAGGGCCAATAATGAGTCAGTAATTTATAGACTATTAAGATACTTGTTAGAACTGATTCCTGAGCATGTTGAATAAAGAACACATGTTTATAAAAGACAAACAGATTCAATATATCTCTTTGGCCTAACCAAGCCCAACCAGTTCACAAAATGGGATGTCTTATTTTGTGTATCTTCTACTTCTCAAAAATAGAATCACTAACCACTTGTTAACCACACTGACTTTTTAATAGACAGAATGGTTGCTACAGTTTTGCCACCAGAAATGTTCAGATTAAGCATTCTATTAGATCGTAGCCAGAGTCTACAAAACAGGAAGGCGGCTCTGCTTGCTTTTTGCCTCCTTTCCTTGTTTGAATTGATGTGATAATTCATTGCAGATTTCTTTTTCTTTGATAGAATGCCTACCGCAGGAATGGGATGGCCTTTCTAGCCTGCTGATGTGACAACTGTGATGTGCCTGAAGCAACAGGAAAGGCGATGTTATATTAAGGTGATTTCTTGAAAACAAAATAAAATACAAATTTACCTTTCTCCCAACCAAGGGAGTGGGCTGGTTTGTTGTGACTATCAGCTTGCTGACTCCTGCTCTTTTCCAGCCCCCTCAACCATCGGTCTTGTTTACTAGATGTGCTGTTCAGCTAATTAATGGCAGGATGTTTGGGATAGGGCGTAGGTGGACAAGAATGCAGATCACACAATTCTGAAATTTTAATTTCAGTGGATTTACTGCCCGCCGCTCACATATCTTAAAAGTAGTGGTTGTCCCCCCCTCCAGTGTTTTGTCTGTGTTTTATTTGCTACATTTTATGATTTAAGTTTAGAACAAGGAAACAAAAGGACAGTGAGTTTTCACCTTCCCTTATACCACCAACTTTACTTTCCAACATTTGTTGACTACATGTATTTTAGTGACAGCTGTTTTTTTTTGTTGTTTTTTTTTGTTTTTTTTTTTTTTTTTTTTTTTTTTGAGACGGAGTTTCACTCATGTTACCCAGGCTGGAGTGTAATGGCGCGATCTCAGCTCACCGCAACCTCCGCCTCCTGGGTTCAGGCAATTCTCCTGCCTCAGCCTCCTGAGTAGCTGGGATTACAGGCACACACCACCATGCCCAGCTAATGTTTTGTATTTTTAGTAGAGACGGGGTTTCACCATGTTGACCAGGATGGTCTTGACCTCGTGATCCACCCGCCTCGGCCTCCCAAAGTGCTGGGATTACAGGCTTGAGCCACCGCGCCCGGCCTGACAGCTGTTTTTTAAACTTACAGTAATCAAATATCTAACAGACCTGATAAATCACCTGTTCCTATCCCCTCTCCCCTTCACTCCACTTACAGTATGAGTCATTTTGAATGCCTTCTTCCCAACTTCCTGCCATCTGCCTTTTATTTGTGTTTTTCCTCACACAGAACGTCTTACTCCATCTTTGTTTCCCTCCTTTTCCTGTTCCTCAAATCCCCAGACCTACTACTCCTGCACATTTCATGCACATTTCAAAGCTAAGTATTCAGAATTAGTAGAAGGGGAACAGAGTAATTTCTTGCTTCCCCCTTCAAAGCACTACCACACCTAGACTGGAAATGTGGGCTTGGTAATTTCTTGCTGTTAGCAGCTGAGCTACTCTTCTGGCTTCTATACTTTCTCCAGTAAATGAGGAACCGTAATTCTTTGGAACCAACCAAAATATAGCAGATGTAATCGTACAGTTCCTGATTAATTTTACTTTTATCATGGTTTTTACATACTTGAAACAGTCTTTGTAAAGAATTAATAAAAACAAAAGAAAAATGTGAAAGATTATGCCACATTATTTACATTTGTTAATTGTCATTTACCTGTTCTGTGTTAATCTTTTTAGAAAATATTTGCATGTCAGAAACAAAAAGCACAAATAATATCAAAATATTTCCAAAGGGTTTTGATGTTCCATCTATCCTTGTTAAAATGTATGAATAAACTTTTCTTTTTATCATTCTTATTTTCCTTGGCAGCCATAAGCATGGAAAATTATAAGCTTGCAGTAAACATCCTAACTTTAAAATGATAGCATTTATTGTATTTGGTTTTGATCTGCCAGACTTATACATGGTATAAAATTTTCAGGGGCTGATTGTTCACATCAAAATTTCTTCTCTCCCACATTATACATTTTAAAGTATGCACGAGGCAGAAAATACAGGGTTTGGGTTTTTTCCTTCATTTTATTCTACCTGATCTCCTTACAGTCCCAGAGAAGGAAGACTCAACGTACATTTCTCTCAGAAATATGACAGGTCTGTGTTTTTGTTGGTCTGGCGTATGTTTGTCTATCTTGAACAGTCTGACAGGTAATTATTTATAAAATCTGGTTTTGTCCAGTAAGTTCATATAATAACCTTTCATTTTTCATCATAAGCCAGTAAGCTGAATTTAGAATAAAGCAAGGTTATTTATGTCTGTCCTGAACCAACCTACATGTCCCCATAATTGCTCAATATTTTTAATTTTTTTTTCTATTTTTTACATTTAGGTTCTTTCTGTGACTCTTTGCACAGTCCTAAATTTGAAGTGAAATAAAATTTCCTTCACCAGTGACTATAGAAATAAAAGAAAACTTACAGAAGGAACATTTAGGAAAATGTGCTTCAGTAAATGGTTTTCTCAATAATCATAATGTTAAAGCAGAAGATAGTCTTAGAGATCATAGAGAACAGCTGCTTATCTTACAGATGAAAAAACATGGCCTAGAGAGGGAAAGTGACTTTCCTAAGATCACTCAATAATGGCAGAGACAGACCAGAGATGAGAGTCGATGGTCCCTGACTTTGTCTGCTGTTATACAGTATTTTCTGCTATGCTGGGTTAGCATAAGACAACTACTAAGACATGTTGGGGTTTGATGGCATATTTATCCTAGACAACAAAGTAAATGTATAGAAAATGCACTAATTATGAATACCTCCTAAAGCTTAAGTGTTGTATAGTAAAACCTCAATGGGCCTGTGGTATTAAGTAAACCATCTGTTACCCTACACATCAGGCTCTACTATAATTCAAATGGGAATATACAAAGCTAGTTTCATATTTTTCTCCCTTGCATTTTAGAGACTGAATTTGAAAATAAGTAAGCCAATAAATAGCCTCTCTTGATACTGCTTCCTACATTTAAGGATAAGGAAAGTAGAAATATCTCTCCCTTCACCTCAATTTGATAGTGTGACTTTCTGAACATGCCATTTAGAGGTGATGTCATTAGCTTTTCTGCCTTCTTATATTGTAATAGTTGTGATTCAAAAATGCTGTTTCGATTTTAAAACCAAGACTTTTTATCTGAAAACCACTGGAAGCACAAATATATTTTAAATAGTTATATAATTCCTGTGTCTGAGGAGGAACCTTCATTTATTGCTGTTCTTTGTTTTTATAAAATAATAAACAAACCATGTCTAATGCTTTTACCATGTAGAAGACAAATAAACATAACTGGTGATTCTTGGTCTAAAAAAAACGCGTTTACTTGTTTAGAATTATAAAGTTTAATTTTATGAATTTTTTTACATAGTTCTCAAATCAAGCATTGCTTTCCAGTTCATATAACCTCTTGTGTAAAACTGAATCACTAAAGAGAACATATTCTCTCATCTGCCCCCTGGAATTTGGATAGAACCTTCCCAAGCTACATTTAAAATTCTACCATCAACCATGTATACATCTCATAAAATACTTTACAGTTTCCTGTATGCTCTGGCCGAACATTTCATAGTACATAAACACTTCTGCAAATAATCTAAGGGCATCAAGTTGAATATGTCATAGCTACGGACACTACATAAAGCTAATTCACCAGCAGCATATTTTCTTATTTTTATCTTCTTATTTGAAATTCAAGCTGAAACTTTATGTGCTATTGTTGTGCACTGGCAGGGGTGAGAAGAGAGCAGGGAACTCTAGCAGTTTTTGTGGAATTGTGTTCATTAAAGCAAAGGCTTTCTGCAGAGGGCATCTAGCCAAGCTTAAACAACAAAACTATGCCTGCAGGAATTGGATGTAAATGTGATGGTTAAATAAGGGCCAGATGTCATTAAAAACTCTAATATTAGAAATTCATATCTCTTAAAGTAAGTCTCAAGTGTTGGAAGTCAGATACTGATACCATAGTACCTAAAGAAAGAGACCTGCATTTGTTTTCCAGAGCAAAATATTAAGTATTCGAGCTGTTATTAAGTCATGGAAGTGTTGGCAATTGAAGCATATTTTAAAGCAATCAGTTCCTATAAAGCCACAAGAACGCCGAATACATGTGTCCTTGTTGGGAGCCACTGTAATTCACTACACAGCATGGGGTCCATGATCTCTTTTCTGCTCATCACCACCCAATGTTCATTATTCTCATTTTTTTTCAAAGGAGAGTAAAGATAGAAAAAAAAAAAAAAAAGGCAAGGCTCAAGATGATCAAAATATAGTTTTACTTACACCAGGTAATTGTCTACTTGCTATCAAAAATGATATATTGTGTCAGCATATTAATAAGTTATGACATAATTATAGCACACCATGTGCTACCCTGTGTACTAAGCAGTTTGTGTGATTTATCTCATTTAATACTCACAGCCCCACTATGAGATATGCCTTGTTGCCCACAGGCAAAAAGAGGAAACTGAGGAACAGCAGATTAAGTATCATATACAGAATTACCCAAGGTAGAGCTGGCATTTGTATGAGCACTCCGATCCCAAAGCTCATGCTGTTAACCACTGTTACACCACATGGACTGTACTGGAATAGAGATTTCTGATCACATATTAACGGGAATTGCTGCCTGACCTGGAACCTAGAAGCACTTCTCAGAACCAGAAAATCTGATTGCAAGAAAATTTTATTTTGACTTAACATTCCTTCTCTAATGCCAAGTATTATGTATGTAATAGAATATATAACATATAATAGAATATAATTATATATTATTATGCCAAATTTTTAATGTCTTAAATCTTAGGATAAATATATATATATGTATATATAATCAATGAATATACTAAAAGTCCCTATACAAATTATGAGAAAAACTTCATCAAAGATCCATGTAGACAAAGCTGTTCTTCTTTCTGAAGACCAGATTTCCCCAGAAGGCTCTATTTACACAGGCTACTATTTCATGCTTTCATACAAGGTATTTATCCCTATTATAAAATAATTCCCATCTTTTTTACATGTGTTAGCAGCAGCAGATACAGAAGTACATATGGCAATGCCCTGAAACTTTATATTAATGACCCTTTTAAGGGTTTGCTCATTAATTGATTAATTATATAGTAGTCATAGGTCTTCCCAGCCTGTCATAGCTTCAAACAGCTATTCCAAATAGCTTCAGACAGTTTGTGTGTGAAGGGGGTCTGGGGAGAAGTGGTGTGTGGAGATAAATAAGAAAGTGGAAAAAAAGTTACTGAGCACAATTTGAATTACAAAGGATAGTTTTCCATTCGACTCAGTAGTTAGCAGGAGCTTTTTTTATACGCAGACAGAGTCAGGGTGTCTCTTTGTTGCCCAGGCTGATCCCAAACTCCTGGACTCAAGTGATCTTCCCATCTTGGCC